TTTTTTTGTTTTTTTTTTTTAAAGTAAAAATCACTACAAAATGAAATTGTCTTTCCTTTTTTTTTTTTTTTTTTGTAATACTAAGATTCATTGGTAACATTTTCAAAATATCAAAATGACAGAATTCTGATTATAGGACACAAAATTTTTGGTTTGCAAACATCAGCTTTCGTATGTTAGCGATTATTTTCGAGCTTTATTTTTGGCCAACAAATCAGAGCCCATATCAGGCGCATATCGTAATTCATGTAACGAATTTGCTGTCGTTGTTTCATCATTTAAACACCCACCACCAGCCATACAGTTCAAATGGTTTCTGGAAAGTGCCATCCAGAGTCCTGCTTTTAACGATATTACAGGTACTACAAACATGATCACATCGATTGAATTTTCAAACAAATATTAATTAAGAAATGCATTCAAATATCGTACCTAAATACGTGATATTGTCATTTTATTTCATATTAATTTGACCAACACTTCTTCTAAGAGCTATCACGAAAACTGTCACAAAATGTCGTGCATATATTCGAATAAGTTAAAACATTTAATATTTCAGTAACCGTACCTAAATACACGATATTGTCATTTTACTTCATATTAATTTGACCAACACTTCTTCTAAGAGCTGTCACAAAATGTCATGCATATATTTGAATAAGTTGAAACATTTAATATTTCAGTATTTTTTTCCGAACACTTTTCAAAAAAAAATGCTTTTTCGTATTTTTACAATTTTCTTTTTGTTTGAATTGCAGATGACACATTGGAGACATGTATGAGGTTGTCAAAGCGATTTCGTGCTAAATACTTGGAAATGAAATGTGCCAAATATATTCAAGATAACGTGAGTGCTTGGATTAAAATTATTTCCCGGTGGATTGCTTAGGTAGTTTGCCGAATAAATTACAATTAAGCATGTTAATTAATTGCTAATTAAAAAGCAAACTAACAAAAGCATGCAAATGTAACAATAATGTTTAACATTGTTTGCGCTATTTGAAATTATCACAACAATTTTTTAAATTTTTATTTTTCCCATTTTCTTACAAAATTATTTACATTATGCTTCATCATTGCATAACATATGATAGGACAACACTGGAGTGACGCTAATTTAAATTCATTACTTAAACAATGAGACAAATTTAACTCAGTTTTTTTTTTTTTACTTTAAAATGTAATCTTAAATGCAATTTTAGCAAAATTTTCGAAATTAATTTTTTATTAATTTCATTAATTTTAGGTAACTGAAAGGAGTCCAATGGTAGCATTATGTTGGTTGAATTGGGTACTAAAACATAAATTCGATCGGATTACGCATGATGCTTGTCTTCCGTGTGTTGCTGCAGCTTCGGTACAATGTCTGGAAGAACATCGGAATTTAATTTCTGAACGATTATTAGCTGATTTATTAGCTGCTAAATTGAGAACACTTTACGATCAGGTTGACATTTCTCTGTTATAGAATTTTTCTCCGAGAGTTCTCGTTGTAACATTTATCGATTTTTCAATATATTTTCAGTTCATCACAATAAACAACCTATTAAAGTTTTTTCAAAATTGTTGTATTATAGGCGGTAACTGTCTTCCAAACAATTCATAGCATGGATCATTTCTATGTTGATGTTGCTAAATGTCCAACTTGTGGTTGTCAAAGAGAGCAAGGAAAAGTTCGCATACAAGCTAGCCCTTGCAGGTATGCGTATAACTTTTATCAAAAATGAGCACCCTTTTCATTCCTTGAAAAAAAACTTCCAACACTACAGTAATTAAAAGAACAGTTAACTCCCACTTTACATTCAAGAATCAGATCCGATATTCCGGAAGTTTATTCAGTAAAGATATTTTTCAGGAAAATGCTTGGTTGTGAACGATGTTTGAGAGAGTACGGTTGTAATTTGACTGGTAAAGATCATAAAGATCTCCAAGCATGTTATCAATGTGAGCACGGTTTGGTAGAATTAAATGATCATACACCTGATTGTCAATGTCAGATTCCCTTATTAGCTTCACATTTGAAAGGACTACAATTTCATTTTCTACCCCTCACTAATCATCATTGATATTTCCTCCCCTTTTTTTTCTTTACTCTCCATGTCTCATAATTGTCATAGGTTGCATCTTTGAACCATATTTTCGATTGCAATATTTTAGGAAGTATTTTTTGATTTTATAAGTGCTAACTTATCCAATTTTAAATTTTTGATATCATAGCTTCAAAATTAATTCTGCTATCATCGAAAATTCGGTCACCACTGATGTTTAATACCTAATACTGCCATTAATCTGTATGATTTTACTAAACTTGAAACAATTAAAAGTCTATACTGTTCGGTTTTTTTTGAAGCCATGAAGTTTCACTGAACCTTATGAAGGAAATTTTGAAAAACTGAAAGGAACATTAAACCAAGCATAGGAGGAAATGGTCGATTGATATTATAATAATATCTATTTGTATATGTTAAAGGGAAAATTTAGCAATGAATTCAACTTTTCATCCATATTTCGTTTACACATACAAGTAGTCAAGTGTGATCATCCATGATCTTTTTTAATAGACTTTGTTATCACATACGACGATATGATGATCACTAACACTGAACAATTCATCATGTATTTATTTCTACATTTGATACCTAGCAATAAATATGTGTATCTTATGATCATATGACAGCAAAAAATGAGCATTCATCATTTATTTTGTCATCTGTCATCTCGACAACCCCTCTGATCGCTTCTCGAATATTCGCAAAAACTTACCCTTTGAAAATTGCTTCGCTAAAATTATTTATGAAGAATTTGAATTTTCGAAGTTATAAAATATTAGATTCCAGAAGTTCCTAAGTTCAAATAGGATTATACCAAGAGGGGATATATTTAACACAAACTTCGGAACTTGAATAAATTGAGTATTAATTAATAAATTAATGGAACGAGCAACAAAAAACCTTCTTCGATCCCTAATGTATAGGCGGAATTCTGCAAATTTCTTATGTATTCCATTAACTGATCAGCACTAAACTGTCCAAGCTCTAAAATAACAATGAAACAACAAAAGCAACTTTTTATCAATCTCAAGATTTGAAAATTAACCCTCGAAAATACTGATCCTTCGAGACTTAAATCTAAGTTAGATTGCATTTTAATGTCATTTCGAATAAATATTTTTTTGACATGCTTACCATTAACAAGGCGTACATCTTGTGTATCTAGTTCAGTTCGAAAACGGCTTGACCTAAAATCGCCAGCAGCTACCTAAAAAAACAGTGTAATCCAGCAGCACTCCAATATATTGCACACATATATGAGGTAAATGAATTTATAAAGCAGCACTTATTCTAAACAAACCGTAATAATTATTTCGTAACAACCTAAAAATAACTTGCAAATATGGTGGTGAAGGTACTAAAAAGTTATAAAGGAAGAATCAAGTTACAATCAACATCCTTAAAATAGATAGTATATTACTCACTAAAAAGTTAAGGAAAGAGAAGATGAAAGGAATTACTTGATTGGATTGTGAATGTGATATGAAGTATTTGAGCAGTCGACAAAGTTCATTCTAGGTACCAAGCACTTCAATTCGCAAATATTAATTACACTAATACCTCTGAACTGTTCAGAAACGTCGACTCATTGGAGTCAAGTTGATAGCTAACTGGCAAAAAACAACCATAAATCTTACGGTCAATGTTCTATTCATATCCCAAGCGCCGGGTACATTCTCTGGGAAAAGTTCTGGTGATTTCCGATGAGTTATATTTTCATTGCAAACAAGATTTGTGTTTTTCGGTTTCTCAGCCACCTGATTATCGTCCATTTCCTGAAATAAAAAGAAAAAAAAACTAGTGCAACTCAAATCGATGTCAGCAGACTGACAAATCCTAACAAATCAATAGCCAATATATACACATATATTCTTAAAAACACATTCAAGATATCTGACGTATCAACTGTTACTTGAACTTTGAATCTATCCTTTTGTGATAATGACATGTTTCTCTATCTCTATCTCTGATTTCAGATTTTTTTTTTTGGAATAGAAATTAAACAGAAGAATTCTAGAATGGAAATGTATCATCACCACAACAATAAACAACATCTAGCAACAATCCCTCAAACCTCACGGAAAGCTCCGAACAATCCTTAGCATCAAATCTGTTCAATATATTTATGGCCGGCACAGTTTTTACGGCTCGGCCCTCAAATTTTCAAATTCGAAATGAAAAGTGTAAGTCTTTCTGAGTGAGTCTATGATCAGTGGAAGCTTAGTAGTTCTGAATGGCTTGTAATTAGTGGAAGCCTAGTAGGTCTTAAGTAAATGTGAAACAATTGCGAGGATTTATTGTTGACAAATTGGAGACCTAGATGAATCACCTAGATGAATAATTGGCTTAATTGTTAAGTATGAATATTCGACTGTTTCTATTGGTTATAAGTGGTACAATTTGGGTGGCAATAACCAGTTCTATCTATTTTTTTTTTTTTTAGCAAATTTTCCTTTAATGGGCAACAATATGTATCGATAATGATCAATATTAATATCTCGAGCAGATACAATGCATAAATTCCTGAACTCACAGACGAAAAATAGGAGGGAAGATGAGGTCAGGTAACAGATTAGACGTCGAGGTCACGAAATGGAAATATAGAAGATATGATGACTGTAAACTAAGAATCAGTAAAACAAAGGGATATTTTGAAAATAGTGAACTCTCTTTAGGATCATGAAATAACATGCCATTTGGATTGAAAAGCAACGTGTTATAACATTATGGATAGGGACGAGTGGTAGGGAAAGTTAACGGTTGTTTTTGATTTCAGTACAGTATAAGACATTATGTACTTCTGTTTTTACAGTATATCTGTGGAAGAATTACAAGAATGCACCTGCAACTACCTCCAATCAGTAATTTGATTTTCAACTATTATGCATTTTCAGGTAAATTAAAGCAAACGATAACTAATATAACGATGACAGGTAAAAGCTGTGAATTGTAACATTAGCAGTAAAAGTAAGGGCAGATGAAAAGAAAAAAAAAAAGATATACTTATCCCCTATCAAGTATATCATTTTTTTTTTAATGCGGTCGTTGATAAATTGACCAATTCAACAATTCAATTCTTAAATGTCATCTCCCTCTTACGTCTGTTCATTTAAATGAAATAACTAAGAGATTTTTTTAAGTTGACATACTTTCTCAGATGAGCATCTCAAGAGGAGGATCGTTCTGGAGAAGTCTTCTCTTCACTTTTCCTAAGTATGATCTAAGGCAAAAGTTATTCTTCTAGAATTTTCCTCCTCATTTCTTATCTTAACCTTACTTTTCAGTTTTCTTAAAATTAGGTCATTGTTTAGATCATACTTAGAGGGAAAAGAAAGTGGGAAGGATTTTTTTCAGATTGAATCTTTTATAAACTAATATAAAATAAGATTCATTTTTGATTTGAACTCTTTTTGCATCAATCTTTCATGTTGCAAGCATCCTTGACGGTAGAATGAAGAATGAATACATATAGATTTCATGTGACATTTTTTCCAATATAATTTCCTTAAATCTATCGTCAATCTATACTTTTTGAAAATAGGGCTGTCCATAATGGAATCTAATATTGTTAGTGCATGCAACAATCTGTGATGGTTATTTTAAGCATACAAAAAAGGAAAAGCTTCCGGGAGTGTTCAGTTTTATCTGATTTTCAATTTAAAAATAAAGAATTCCCATCAAATGCAAGTGCATATCGTTTACAGTTTTGTCGTTTTTCATGCTAAATTAATTAGAACATATGCAGGTAGCACTGCTTCAAATTCTTCACAAAAAAAATTTTGCAGTGAAGAATTTAAATTTGAGATGCCTTAAAATATTTCCTTAGAACATTTCATGTATTCAGCGTAGCGCATCTTCTCTTGGTGATAAAATTCCACTTCAAGCAAGGCCGCAAATTCGTCACCTGAAGATTGTTTCTCAAGTTAGCCACCAAATTCATTTCATCTAATCCAGAATCATGCCCTTAATCTGTTGTCATATTTCCTAAGTGGCATGGATATGATTATTTCTCAATAGCCAATTGAAAAATCTAAACAATTCACGGTTATAATGCTTAGGGAAAACGTTTTTAGAGCTTTTGAGAATATTTCCTAAATCTTTCCATATTTCCTAATTTTTTCGAATTGAGTGTTTACAATTCGGAAGTCAACTTTATAAATATATTTTTAAGGTCGTGAACGGTTGTTTACATCTGTTTATGTAAAAAAAAAAGGAAAAAGTGACCCTTTATCAGAAAGACATAAACAGAAGGTATGTTAGCAAAGTGTACTTTAAACTCCATCTCTGTATCAACGAACTTTTAACAGGTACTATTAATTTTTCTTTAATTTAAGCATGAAAGCATTGTTCCATCTATTACGCTTGTGAAGAATCCGAATTGAATTAAAAAGTTATTTGCTTCAAACTTTTTGTTTTCCCAAATTATATGGTACTGTCACTGAGACGTTTTGCTTTTTGTCATTCAATGTCGTCGAGATTTTATGCTTTTCTGATGACATGATGATATGACAGATGTAGATTACTCCAAATGCGAATGTGACTTGAATCAATCAGCATTGATTCTGAATCATCTCTTTTGATATGTTGTAGCTTCAATTTTCATCATACTTTGACTTCTCTTCTAATCTTCCTCATCTTTTACCTCAAATAATTATCATTACATTCTACTAGTTCTTTTAATTCTTTCAAAAATTTCTTCTCGCATGCAATACCTCTGCGTACTTTATAATCATTACTATTTTCACGTAATTTTTTAGTCTAATGTTTCAAATGTTATGCTAATTTCTCCTAAAATCTTATCACTCTTCGATTATATATTATCATTCTCTTTGCGATTGTATCAAGTTGATGAGTTAAAAATTTGAATCATTTAATACATTTTATTTTGATTTGATGTATATTGCATAAACATTGGATGTTAAATGGATGAAATTACTCTAATTAAATTTTTAATGCTCAAAACTGACTAAATGCAAATGTAAAGCAGAAATTTTTCTGAAAAAAAGTAAACGCTCCGAGAAACTTAAAAGTATGTTTCTGTTTTGAATAAAAATTTCATCCATGGAATCATCATTACAATGATTCATTGATTTATTTAAAATTTCATCAATTTAAAGTTATAAATTTTATTCAAACTAAAATGCCTCATTTATGAAAGTGTAGTTAACAAATCATTTGTAATGTGCACATTTGCGCTAATACAAATAATTAGAAAAATATTATTGTTTGAAATGAATGAAGCTATTTACATTTGGTTAGTTAAGCAAATGAGATGTGATATGTTTGCTAATTGAATTATTTTCAATCCTTATGTCTTTCATTCTCCTATAGATTGCATTTATGTGCTAACAAGAGGGGAATAATTTCCTGAACGCAAATGCAATTTTTAACTTTTCTCTCAACAAGATAACATCTAATATCATTCTCCTTTTGACTGTTGAAAGAACGGTTGACATTTAATTTAACAAATGATAACAATCCTTCTAGGTGTCAAATGATAATTCTTTTGTATGATAACACATGAATGGTTTAGCCAACAAATCCTTTAATTTTTTACTTAATTGATTAATCTAAATCAAATATTCTCCCCTCCTCCTCCTCTTACTATTCAATCTTTATTATTTTTAAAATTTCCAAAATCATATAAATTGAATTTTATGGATGCTTTTCCTTTTCTATAAATTTAAAAAGGAGAAAAAATTTTTTTTCCTATTCCACTTAACATTTATTCAAAATTATCATTTATCTTTTTTATCAATCGGAATCAATGACTTTTGTTTGCTGAAACAGAAATTATTTCTCCTTATTTTAGGCCATTTTATCAGTGTTGATAGTTTTCATGCTATGTTTTCTTATCATGGTATCATTATTTGATACCATGAGATGAAGATGTTTTGAGAATGAGAAAAAAAAAGACAGGAAAATGAAAATAAGCAATATGACCTTGCTAATCATCCATTCTTCTTCTTCCCTTAGCAAAAAAAACTGGTACTCTTTTGTTTAGAAAATTTTTTTTTTTCACATAACTTTTTAATTCTGCAATATTAATTTTGTTTATTTCAAAAATATTACTTTCCTTTTTTTTTTTTCTTAGTACTAAAGCAACTGCCATAATGTGGTGTGAACTAAAATGTTTTGAATTTTGGAAGATGAAGGAAGGACCATAGGCGATAATAAAAGGATAAAGAAGCATCATTAGTATTAAATTTCCTCATTGTCATTTCAAATTTGATGAATATTAAATCGAGCTATGTGGTTACTACTCGATGGTTTGCATTTTGCATGTAATTTTAGTAAGCTTCTTCCGAAAGAGAAAAGCAATTAAATTTATCGTTGTAAGGCAAGTAGTAGTTAAGTTTGATTAAGTTCTAAACGAGAAATGAGCCTAATATACTAGTGCACTAGTCTATCTCTTTACATTGTCTCTTTTTCCTCCATCTTTCTACCTTATCTTTCTTTCACTTTCAAATTTATCTTCTTTAATTATTACTAAGAAAACTTCATTTTTTTTATCACTTCTACAGAAGGGAAGCTGTTTCTTTCTATTAAAAATTTAAAATATCCACTTGCGTACAGTTTGATGATATCTTGCAATAATTTCATATCTGTTATCATCTTGGACATATGATTACCTCACTGATAATAAGTGATGAATCATTAGAGCTATATTATCAGCTGTAATCATGCCATGGCTATGTATTATTGATGATGATAATGATGGTGATGATGATGATGATGATGACGATGTCTTTCTGTTCAATGCATTTTTTTCTGGTTCTTG